TACTGTTTAATAGTTTATACTATATTTAGTAATATTCTAACCTTACTACTACTTGCACGCTTTAGGGACGCTTTAAGGCCTATTTAGTGCCTAATTTTAAAATGCTGTTTTATTAGCTTTAAAAAAAACTAGAAAGTTTAGGTTAAGCTTAATAACTTTTCTAGTTTTAGTATTACTACTAATAGTATTATTATAGGCAATCTAGCCGCGCTAGAGGCGTATTTTAAAGTTTATAAAAATATTTAAAAGTTTAAGCACTAGCTAATTAAGTATAAAGATAAGTTTTGCTAGTTATTTAATAGTATACTTGCAACAAGCAGCAACGCTTTTACAATTAAAAAAGTAATTAGCAAAAATGCTACAAATTAAGCTTGTTAAAGTTTTTATCTATATAGTAATAATAGTTTATATAGTTATAAACTGCAATAAGAGTATATACAAGCTTTACCTATATTTAAATTAAGAACTTGTACAGCTAATTAAAGATTTTCTAGTATTATTTAAAGACTCTAATGTCTGCTTAACTATATTATAGAAGCTTAAATAACAGTAATTAAATAGCTTTTTTTTGTTTTTAGGTATTTAGGCAGCTTAACTAATTTCTTGTAGATAATATTGTATACCTTTATATAGGCAGAGCAATATATTACTATTTAAATAGCCCGCGTCTGCTAAATAATATCTGCTTATTAGCGCTTTAAAGCCTTAATCTACTGCGTTTGTAAGCATTTTACTATTATAAGCAGAGCTTTCCTAGCCTAGCAATATATATATAAAGCTTATATTAAAGTTAATAACTGCAAAAATATTTTAGCTAAAATAGCTATACTAGTTCTAGAAGCAGTATTGTTAATTAGCTAGCATATAGAGCTTAAAGTAAGAACTGTTAAAAGCTCTAATGCAGTTTTTAAAGGCTAGCTAGCGCTTTAGATTATTGCGGATTTAATTAGAGACTTCTAATAAAGCTAGTTAAATAATTACTAGATAGAGCTTTATTAAACCTCTAAGAATCTTATAAAAATAGCTAGTAATTATAAGTAATTGCTTATACAACCGCAAGAAATGCTTACTGCTTACTATAATATAGTTTTAAAGGAGTACTTAGTGCAATATATAGTATTTTAATACAATATACTTTGCGCGCAAATATACAAAAATATAAGTAGTTTTTTTTTAACTGTAGTGCAGGTATTTTTTACAAGCTTATATAATTTTAGGAAATCTAATAGCAATTTAAATACTTTAAGCTTTAATTAGGTTTTATTATATAACTATTTTAAGTTGCGGAAGTATGCCTCTAACTAATATTTTTTTTTTTTATTATTACTAAATTAATTAAACTAACTACAAAAGATAGAAAATAGTATACTTCTAGCTTTTTTAGTAAACTTACTGTGCGCTAGTAGCTTTTTTAGCTTTTTTTACAATTAATTATAAGAAATAGAAGATAGTATACATCTAGCTTTACTAGCAGACCTGCTTTGCATTATTATTTTTATCTTATTTTTATAGTCCTAGCTACTATAACTAAAAATATATATATATATATTTATATATATAAACTAGACTATGTTTGCAACTTTTTATGCCTTTAAAAAATAGACTAATACTAGATAATACATGTATAATGCCTACTCTATTTAAATACTAAATGTGTATAGGCAACTTTATATTATATACCTAGGTAAATAGCTAGTATGCTTAGCAGTATATATATATTGCAAATAAGCAAAAATAGTTTTGCACTATTTTTAATTAAAGCTAATAGTATTTATTTAAGTGCAAATAAATAACTATATTTTTTTCTATACTACTAAGTCTAGCTGTGTGCGTCGCGTTTATAATATAATATTAGCTTATAGTTACTAAGACTTAAGTATAATTAATTTTTTTTTTTTTGCCTTTTTTTTGTGTAATATATCTAATATGGGTTTACTTCTACTTATATACTAAGATATTTTTATAAAAAGTACTTTTGCTATTTAACGCCTTATATACTTAAAGTAGTTAATATTTCTATTATACTTTGCTAATTACTTAATTTCTTTGCGCTATTTTTATAAGCGCCTACTTAGTAACGCAAGTATATACAGTTTTTTGTTTATTGCGTAGCAAGCATAGTGCTTTATAAAAATATAATATAACTTATACGTGCATGCTAGCAGCTCGCGTCTATTTTTTAATATATATTTTTAGCAATTGTACTACTTTGCGCGCACTGCTTATAAACGCTATTTGCTATAATATACAGCTCTTAATATAGTTAAAGCATGTTAGGATTATAAAGATAAAAACTACTAAAGTCTATTTTAAAGCATACAATAGTATAGAGCTTATATAAAAATATTTAGTTTAAATAATATATTTTAAGTAACTATAATATAGGCTATAGCCTTACTTTACTTAATTTACTATACTTATTAATAGCTTTGTCAACTTCTTTAAGCGTTAAAATCTATATAAAAAAGTTAAAAACACTAGTAATTATTCTAATAAGCTATAGTTGCTATATATACTAAAGTTAATAGAATTGCTATAAATTATAGCTTGTTTTTAACTGCGTAATATAAATATCTCTGCAGAATTCTACAAAGCTATAGCTAGTATTATATAAAGTTTAATACTTTCTAAGATAAGAGAATATAAGAACGTAGAAAGTAAGGTGCGTAATAAAATACTAATACTTATACTAAGTAAAGTAAAATGCAAGCAGTTATTCTTAACTGCTTTAAATATATTTATAGTATTAGTAACTAAGCAAATAGGCTTTATTATGCTAGATATTAAAGTAATACTTAATAATATAAATATTTTTATTATAAACAACGTAAACTACAAAGTCGCCTAGAACTTTTTATTATTTAAGTTAATATTAGCCGCCTGCTAAGATTAGCTTAAAAAAAATAATTTTAATATTAAGCTATAGTATTTTAAGTTTAACGCACTTGTCGCTAACTTACTATAAAAAAAGTCTAGGGAGTAGTATATTTCTAGTAAGCTAGAGATATTTAATGCGCTAGCATTACGTCTAATTATATATAATAATAGTTTAGTAGCTACTACTAGTTTTTATATTAAAGTAGAAAGACACCTAGGCATTGCTATTAAATGCTGTAACCTAGCGCTAGCGAATTTAGAGCTAACAGGTAATATAATATACTTAAATATAATTATATTAATAGCTAACTATAAACTGTAGTTTGCTTTTAATTCCCTGCACTTAATTTTATTTCGCCTAAGCCCCTACCCTATAAGAAGAAGAAACTAGTTGTTTCTAGTTCTAATTTTAAAAATAATGCTAACTTTAGTATAACTGCTAAATTATACAAAAAAATAACAAAAAGAAAAACGCTGCTAAAATAATAGACAAAGTAGGAAAAGGACAAGAAGGAGGGAAGAACAATAAAAAAATAAAATAAAAAAAAAAAAAAAAGTTAAAAAAGTAAGAAAAGCTAAAAGTAATAATAAAAATAAAAGCTTAGATAATAAAAGTTCTGCAAATAATAATATTGTTAACACTAACAATAGCAATAAAGAAGATAATAATATTATAATAGCATAGCAGTGTATAAAAGAAAATTAACAGCGCCCTTAAGCTCTAATAAGCGCTAGGTAAGTATATAGTAGAAAACTATTAACTATAGTTTATAATACTAATATATAGCTTAAAGATCTAGGTGCCTTAACAATACAAATAGGGCTAGAAAGAAAATACTGCACTATTAAAAAATAGGAAGAAGTAGCTAAATTATTTAGCATTTGCATTAAAAAGTTCTAAAAAGCAAATTAATTACTTTGCTAGTAGTCTAGGACTTTTATATTACGTTTATACTTTACTAACTAAATAGAGTCTATTTTCTATACAAGAAGGTGTAGTTAAGAAATAAAAGTTATATATTTAAAAATATAATAAGTATAGAAAAAACAAGGGCTATACTACTTAAGCTTTTAGTAGGGTGCATCTACTAGCTTAATTAGTTAGAAGTAATAAACGCCTAAGCAACTAGAAATACAAGTTAATACTAAACTATATACAAAAGTAGTAGATAGTACCTAATAGCTAATAAAAGGACTATTTAATATGCGTGCAAGAAATTTCTATTTATGCTAAAAGAGCTGCATATATATCTAACGCTAGCTAGCAAATAAAGCTATATACTAAATATATAGAATAACAATACTATAGTAATAGCTATTTTTAAGTTAAAGTAGTATAACTTAGCTAACTTTTTTTAACTATACTTAGAGTTTTATAGACAATAAACTGCTAAACAGCATAAAGCTACTAATAAAAGATAAAAAAGTAGAAATAAGGATTAATCTTTGCGCTAATACACTTATTATAAATTATAATAAAACTATTACTACTTATAAACATATATTTAGCTACAAAAAAAGGCCTAAAATAGTACTATAGACAATTAGAGACAATAATATGCTAGTAGTTTACAAGAATATAATAAAAAACTATCCTATTCTATCTATAAAATAGTTTGTTATTATATGCAACTTTACTACACATTTATAACATATTCTAAAGAAGTATTATAAAATAACTATTAAGAACTACTATATAATAAATAAAAAAGGTGCTAGTATAGTTAAGTACTTATAACTTTAGATTTCTAGCTATATTATAGTTTAAGGTAGCATAATTTTTAGCAAATTCTATAACTGCAAGCCTAAAGACATAATTATTTCTATAATTAAAAGTAAAGTCGACGCTAGAGCAGATTATACCACGCAGTAGGAGAAATTAGTATAAAAATTACAGTTTAGGTGCTATACCCAGCACCTTAACACAGTATTAAGGCAGTAAAGTTTACACAATACTAGGTTAGCTAAATAGATTATCGAGAGACCCTCGACGATCGCTATTAGCAGCCCTAATGCGTTATTATCTGAAAATTGTAGCAACGGAACTATAGATTCCCCAACAGTGACTAAGTTGTTCGGGCATTGCCAGGCAGCTTTAAGTTTCAACTGTGGACTGTTGTTAAAGCACGGATAAATCCTTGGACCGAGATTTGGGCGAGCTTTGGTTTGGTAGTAAGCTTGCGCCTTAACAGCCAATGCTCTCCTACAATTAGTAATAGGCGCGATAGACGTAGTCTCTACAGAGCACGCAGGGTAGAGCTTGCGGTTAAGGCTTATAATTATGTATCGTCGCTTGTTGTATAGTCGTATCGTCGCGCGTCCTATAGTTGTATATAGGCGGGAGGTTAAAAGTTTGGGTAGTAAGGGTCTAAACGCGTAGGCAGCAAAGCACACATTTGCGCGCTTATCCTATAAATTAAGACCTGTCCCTATCCTAACTTTCAAGTCTTCTATCTCCTACTTCTATTTCTATGTCGAATACAAACAATATAACGCCAACAAATAAACTTGTGCATGCAGGCCCGCAAGTCGCTATTATAGCTAGCAATACTAGCCGCAAGCTATTGATAGTTGCCTAGTACGAGTCGCTGCTCCTTAATTATCTTAAGCTAGTAAATAGTAACTGCTAGTACTATAGGAAGGTATGCAGATACTTTAAAGTCAACCTTCTTTCTCGCAGCGGGCTCTTTTTACCCTGCCTAGTTGATTTTAACCCTCTAGCATCTCCTTACAATAAGCTGGTTATAACTAGGCAGCAGCGATACGCGACTCTCTCTACAGTCAGCTGCTGCATAATAATGCGAGACCCTAACCTCAGCCGCGACTAGGCTGCCTTTGTTAAAAACTAGAGAAACAAGCTTCTGCAGCTTACAGAGGATATTAAGAGTAACGCAAGGCTCACAGCGTATTAGGAAAAGTTCCTCAAAGACTGCAGTCACCAGCAGTACGATAACTAGAAGATACAGCTTCTTGAGACAGTTGACTTAGTGCGTAGGTAGACGTAAGCAGTAGAGCGAGCGATAGAGCAGAGGAGCGAGCGATAACAATTCGGATACACTACAGACGATAGCTTGCGCGGGCAAAGGAGAGGAGCGAGGAGGCGGTCGAGCGTTCGGGCTGACGTTGCAGGAAAAGTTGTTGTTGTTATTGTTGTTGTCGTTGTCGTTGGCGTTGCTGTTGTTGCCTAAAAGCCTAGTGTTGGTTAGCCGCTTGGCAGTCTGACGTTACGCCGGACATTCGGACATGTGCTTAGAAGCCGTTAAAAAAGACAGCGCCTTAGTAGTTAAAGTCACGTTGTCGGGGGTTAGAGGTTTGTTGCTTAGCAATTCTAAAAATAAAAGTACGCAATATATAGTAAAAATACTAATAACGTAAGCTATTAATGACACATTAGGTCCCGTCTTCGCGGGAAAGACATAATTATAAGTATACTATATAAAAAGCTTTAAAAGTATAACTATAGGTACTAATAAAAAGCCTAGGCCTTATTTAGTACCCTAAGAAAAAAAGGCTTATTTAAAACCTTGTCCTCTATTTCTTTATTTTAAGTTAAACTAGAAAATACTAATAGAATATTTAAGTAGTACAAGCTAGTTAACAAGGCAAACTCTAATAGTATTATTAAGTATAAATTAGTAGACAAAGTATATAAAAATATTGCAATAGTCCCCCTAGCTTAATGCTAGTGTAAGAAGATAATTGCAGGCTTAGCTATAGTAAAGTATTAGGCTAATATAATCTTAAAAGCTAATAATAGTATTAAAGCTATTACTACTTCTAAAAAGTATAATACGCTTAGGACTATTAGAGTAAATATTTTTTTTAAGTTTATACTCTGCTAAACACTTGTTACGCATAACCCCTAGTATAGGCAGATATTAGGGGTTAAAAGAAATATCCTAACACTTTTTTACTTTTATAAACTTATTAACTCTTCTTTTACTATATATAATTCTACTTAATAGTACAAAGCTATACTATTTTAAGACAGGTTTAGCAAGCAAATAGCTAATAAAATAGTTATTTTTAAATATATTAAAATGCAGGCAATTATAATATACTTAAACTTTGCTAGACTAAAGGCTATAAGCGTATAAAAATAAGAATAGTAAAAAGTCTAGGCAGTTTATATTAAAAAATATATAGCTATATTTTGCAATGTTAGACAATTGTCTGTCTACTAGAAATATTAATAAACTAACTAAATTAAAGTTTACGTCCCGCTATATTAAGTGCAAGTATAATATAGTTAGCAGCAGTATAATACTAAACTGCAACTAGAGCTAGGCTGTCTAAAATAAAGCTAAGAAGACTAAAAAGCTAGTACCTTTAAAAATAGCCTAAGTAGAAATACTAATAAAATTATATAAGCCCCTAGTATAGCTTTGTACATAGCTAGCGCGCTAAAAAAAGTATATTAATAATAAAGTTCTTATTGTAAGAAGAAGAATAAATAAGTTAGAACTTAGGGAAGCGCTCTTAAAATAGAGGGACCTAGATAAACTGTTTATTTTAGTAGTATTTATAGCTTTTATAAAAGCTAGTATGCTAATAAAAGCAAGTATAATTATTATTATAGAAGTATAATACAAACAATAACACGATACTTATTCTTATTTAGAAGATATTATATAAGCTAACTTGCTAATTTGTGTAAAAGTATTATTTTATATACTATAAAGAGCAAACTAGAATTTGGCGTACTAAGCAAGCAGTTTTTAAAGACAGTACTATAATATAGACTACAAAAAAACAGAACAGCTAGTAATAAAATTATTAAGTAAAATACTAATAGGGATATTAAAATAAAGCTAGAAAGTCTAGTGCAAGTTCCTAAATAGCTTTATTAATAGTAATTAACAGCAGAAGACAGTAAAAGACTATAAATATAAAATAATTACTGTACTTTTCTACGCTTATAAAAAACTTTAGAATAAAACTTACAAAATATTGCTGTATGTATATAGACTACTAAGTATAACAACTACTAAACCTATCTAATATTATATTAATAGGCTATAACTAATACTATATATATTACAATATTATACGCTACATTAAACTAACTTAATAAAAATATTACTTAAAAGTATTGTACTTTAGCTGCCCTTTTTAACTGCTGTAATTACCCTACTAGTCTTTAAATAGTTAAACAGCATATATGTATATTCTAATTTTTAGTTATTTCTACTGCCTTTTTATTTTTCTATCTAGTTTAAAGCTAGTACTAAAACAGTATAGTTTATATTGTATCTATTTATATATATATAACTTATAGTCTGCTCCTCCCCTTCCCTACGTATGCTATCTGCTACCTAATATTAGAGTAATTCTGCTTATAAAAGTCTTGCTCTAACCTAGACATATTGCATGCCCTAAAAAGAGCTACTTTTTATCTATATTAAGATACAAAATATTAATATCTATTTATAGAACTTTAAGTAATTTATTAAAAACTATATTATACTACGCGTTAAAGAGTATACGCAAGCTAAGGCTGCTCTAAATACTTTAATATACTTATTTGCACTATTAATATATAAAATACTATTTTGCTTAATAGTATAGTACTAGGCTTTAAAATAGAGTGTTAAAAGCGTAACTTAGACAATAAAGTTTTACTCCCTTGCTAGTCCTAGGCAGTTTTTTACAGTTTAGTATAAATAATAATAATTTTAAACTACTGCACTTTTCTGCATTTAATAGAATACAGCGTTTTTAAGAACAGCTATATTATAATATTTATACTAGATATATTATATAACTATTAAAAGGTTAGTTGTGGCATATATATAGTACTTAAAAGGACTTTAGTTTTCTAAAAAATTTATACTAAAATTGCAGACAATATGCAAAAGCTTTTAAGAGTGTTTAATTAAAGTAGATATATATAGTATAAAAAATATAATATTATAGCTTTAAATGCATGCTCTGCGCTAGCTACTTTATAATAATTACACATAGTATACTACGCAATAAAGTCTGTATACTTCTTACTTTATATTTAATTTTAACTATATTAGTAATATCCTAGCGCTTCCCTAATATTAGCTTGTAAAATAAGAAGATATAATACTTTATACTTTTTAGTTAGATTAGAGCGCTAATAGCAGTTTATTAGACTATTTTTATATTTATATACTAGAATACAAAAACTACATACTTTATTAATTCTAACTACTTTTTACTAACGCTAACAGCTTTTTTAAGCTCCCCTTTTTTAACTATAAAGAAATGTAAATAATATACTTTTTACTTTTTAGCCTAGCCTATTCTGCGCTGCTAATTTCTACTACTATTAAAGAAAAAGCGTGTACTTCCCTAGCTTATAGGCAGATAGTAATGCACTAATAATTTTATTAAATTTTTATAATATAGACTATTGTATATAAAGATATGTACGCTCTAATTTTATAGTAGCTTTACTACTATTTTATAAAATTAACCTAGACTAGATAATATACGCATAGTCTCTACTTTATTAAAATATAGTTTCTGCATTTAGAAATTTGCAACTTACTTATATATAGGTAGTTAGTAAGTAAAGCTTGCTATTATTATTATAAATAGTTATAGATAGTCTTGCACTATTTCTAACTCTAACTAACAGTATTTATTAGAAAGTAAAAAATACTTATACTTGTACTTATACTGCTAATGCAACTTATATATTCTATATTTATAATATAAAGCTAGCTTATAGTTTTAAGTTTTTAGTTACTTTTACTTTTACTTTACTTGCCCTACTTTTATACAATATCTAATTTTAATTTACTATAATTTTGCTACTATAATAATATTTATAAATACTTTTTAGTTTTTTGCCTTGCTAATAATAAACTAGCAATGCTACTATTATACTTTACTGCTTATTTACTTTTTTTGCGCTATTTTTATAAGCACCTAATTAGTAACGCAAGTATGTGCAATTTTCTATTTATTGCGTAGTAAACACGATACTGCACAAAAGCACAATATAACTAATATATATAATTTTGCAGCTTACAACTGCTTTTTAATATATATTTTTAGTAATTGTACTGCTTTGCGTATATTGCTTATAACTGTTTTTTACTATAACGCACAGCTTTTAGTATAGTTAAAGCATTTTAAGATGCTAGTAATAAGGACTGCTAGCATTTACTTAAAAATATACAGTAGTATAGAAATTATATAAATAGGCTTAGTTTAAATAATATATTTTAAGTAACTATAAAATAGGGCTATAACTTTAACGCAATTAACTTTAATATTTTTGTTAATAACTTTATTAAATTTACTAAAACTAAAAAACTTTATAATATAATTAAATATTTTGCTGCTTAGTTTAATAGACTTAAGTTACTACGCATATTAAAGTTAAAGTAATAGCTAGAAGTTATAGCCTGTTTTTAACTGTGTAATATAAATATTTCTATAAAGTTTTATAAGGCCGCAGCTAGCACTATATAGAGTATAATACTCTTTAAAATAAAAAAGTATAAAAAGGTTAAAAATAAGGCGCGCAGTAAGACGCTAATATTTATACTAAATAAAGTAAAATATAAGTAATTGTTTTTAATTGCCTTAAACATATTTATAGTATTAGTAACTAAAAAAATAAGCCTTGCTATACTAGATACTAAAGTAACGCTTAATAATGCAAATATTTTTATTATAAATAATGTAAACTGCAAAGTCGCCTAGAACTTCCTATTATTTAGGTTAATATTAGCCGCCTGCTAGGAATAGCTTAAAGAAAATAATTTTAATATTAAATTATAGTATTTTAAGTTTAATATACTTATTGCCTACTTATTGCAAGCAAAATTTAGCAAGTAGTATATACTTAGTAAGTTAGGAATTTTCAATGCGCTAGCTTTTTATCTAATTATAAATAATAATAACTTGTTAGCTACTGTTAATACTTATATTAAAGTAAAGAAATATTTAGGCATTACTATTAAATATTGTAATTTAGTGCTAGCAAATCTAAAACTAACAAGTAATATAATATATTTTAGTATAATAATATTAATAGCTAACTGCAAACTATAGTTTGCTTCTAATCTTCTGCGCTTAGTTTTACTTTACTTGCGTTATAATCCTGCAAAAAATAAAAACTAATTATTTTTAGTTCTAACTCTAAAAACAATATAAACCTTAGTATAACTACTAGAATACTAAAGAAAATA